CACTATGATCAGCAACAAGGCCCCTTGACCTCTCCTCTGCTCAGGCAAATGTTATAGATACTCCTTTAGCACTGATAAATGGCCAGTGGGCACCCCAGTCTGCTTGCCAGCCCCCATTCCAAGACACTCGTTTTTACTCACTCCATGGTCTAGGAAGCCTACTGTTTTGTCTCATGATCTTAGTGCTTTGCTCATATGGCTCTTCTTTCTTTATGGTCTTGGGAATCTCTGTTACTGCTTCAAACATGGCTCGTTTTATACCTGGGGGAATGACAAAACTGAGCCATCCCCTCCTAGTCCCATTTGCATACTCTCCCGAGTCATTGGGTGTGCATTACAAGCCTGTGGATCGAAGAGCTATACCAAGGAATTTCCCCCACTGCAGTGCGAGTTAGCTCATGGCCCGGTTAGTCTTGTTGCTGGTTAGTGAGGCGATTCTGTAAGAAGTGACTAGAAGCTGCTCTTTGACAGGATCGGGAAGTCACCGCCGAGCTGTGGGGTGTCCTACTGCCCACTGTGGCTGCGGTTTCCCAGTCACGTCTGTCTGCTATTGTCCCTAGAGGTCCAAGAAACTTCTGAGCAAGCACAGGCCAAATTCAGAAGTGAAAAGCAGAGCCGTAAACAACTAGAGCTCAAGGTGACTTCTCTGGAGGAGGAGCTGGCTGACCTTAGAGCTGAGAAAGAGTCTCTGGAAAAAGTAAGTTCTCCAATTCAAATTCCTCTTTTGAACCCAGTGGCCAGCATTAGCCATTCAAAGTGCATGTTTCCTTTTCCTTTTCAATATAATGATATATGCCGATTATCCTGCCTATAAAATGGGCAAAGAAGGACTTGATTGTCCATTTCACCAAAAAGGACAATCAGATGGCCACTCAAGACATGAAAAGAGGCTTATCATTAGCTATCAGAGATTCAAATCTAACCATTAAACTTCTACTAGGGTGGCTAAAAACAACAGAAAATAACATGACAAAGGTTGGTGAGGATGTGGGAAATTGGAACCTTTACCCATTGCTGGTGGGAATGCAAAATGGTATGAATGTGGAAAATGGGGGTAGTTCCTAAAAAAAACCCAAAAAAACCACTAGTACCACCCCCCAAAGAAACCACTGCCACCTCTTTTATTTAAACAGAATTTCCTGAAGAAAGCTGATGGATTTGAACCGCTGACCTGGTAGTTAGCAGCCCAACACTTAACTGACAGTGCCATTAAGGCCCCTCAGAAAGCAAGCAAACAAACCTATTGCCATCGAGTTGATTCCAATTCAAAGAGACTGTATAGAGTATTATAGAAGCAGACAGCCTATCGTCCTCCCTGATCTCAGTTCTAGGTATATACTGCAAAGATTTGAAAGCAGAGGCTCAGAAAGAGACTTGTATGTCAGTGTTCACTGCATCTCTATTCACTTTAACCAGAAGGTACAAGCAGCCTGAATGCCCCCAGTAGATGAATGGGTGACATGTGGTACATAAATATGATGGACTACTGCTTAACCAGTAGGACAAATGAAGTCTGGATACTTGCTACATACGTTGTGAACGGAGTTGAAGACATTTTGTTGAATAAAATAAGCCAATCACAAGAGGGCAATTGTATAACTTCACTTATCTAAAAGGACAAGAAAAGACAAATGTATAGAGACCAAACTTACCAGTTATTAGTGGTTTTCAAGGTCAGGAGGGGAGAAAGGAGGTTAACTAATGGAAAAGGCATTGATTAAGGGTTGGAAGTACTATCATTGCTGTCAGTAAGTTGCACACGTGTTAAAAGTTGAATTGGATATATAAGAATCTATATGAAAGGATATATAGTCATTGTATTCATCGAGTACAAATAGTATAGAAAAGTCTAAAATAAAGCAATGTCTTTAGCCCTTTCTGTTCTCTTGCCTAAGGAGCTCTCATGGCAGTGAGGTAAGCCTTGTGTTGTCAACCACGAGGTCAGCCGTTCAAACTCTCCCGCTCTTATGCAGGAGGATGACTCAGTCTGCTTCCATAAAGATGACACCCTCAGAAACCCGCTGGAGCACATCGGTCCTGAAGGGTCTCGGGGGCAGAACCGACTCATAGGGAGGAGTGGTTCTTCTCAGACCTTAGAGATAACCGCAATAAATAGTAAATAAGTCATCCTAGATTTGCTTTGTGTATATAAACACATAAGTGTCGTTTTTGTTAACATTATGTTTAATGCTCCCTTTACCTTGTATGTTATAGGCATTATACTCCGTAAACACATTTAAATCATATTCGTTCTTTTTAACAATTGTATAGTAGTCTGCTGAAAGTCTGTACCATAATTTATGTAACCGTTTACCTGTCGATGGATATTTAAGTTTCTGGCCTTGCTGCAGTGGACATCATTGTATTATATAGCTAATTTTGCAAGTTTGTTTGAGTTTTTCCACAGACTAAACTCTTTGCTGGGTCAGAGAGAAGGTTACTCAGCTAAGTGGTTTAGAAGTAGTGCCAGGACAAGAGGAAAGTAAAAGGAAATAGAGCAAATAACTAGGAGGGAAAGGGCATTTATAGTGTTCTAAATACAGGTATGTACCTATGTAAATATATTTATGACAATGGGGAAATAGATCTATGTACATATATTTATAGTTTTAGTATTAAGGTAGCAGATGGACATTGGGCCTCTACTCAAGTACTCCCTCAATGCAAGAACACTTTGTTCTAGCATTCCTGGCATTCCATGATGCTCACCTTCCTGGCATGATCATTGAAGACAAAAGCGGGTGCATAAGCAAATGTGAAGAAAGCTGATGATGCTCGGCTATCAAAAGATAACAGCATCTGGGGTCGTAAAGGTTTGAAGATAAACAAGTGGCCATCTAGCTGAGAAGCAACAAAGCCTACATGGAAGAAGCACACCAGCCTGTGTGATCACGAGGTATCGATAGGATGAGGTATCAGGCATCGAAGACCCAGAACAAAAAATCATATTAACATGAATGGGGGCGAGGGCGGGGAGTGGAGACCCAAAGCCCATCTGTAGACAATTGGACATCCCCTTACAGAAGGGTCACAAGGAAAAGACAAGCCAGTCAGGGTGCAAGTATAGCGCTGATGAAACACAACTTTCCTGTAGTTCTTTAATGCTTCTTCCCCCGCAACTATCATGACCCCAATTCTACCTTACAAATCTGACTAGACCAGAGCATGTACACTGGTACATATAAGAGCTGGAAACACAGGGAATCCCAGACAGATAAGCCCCTCAGGACCAATATTAGCCATACCAGAAGCGGAACCAAGAGTAGGACAGATAAGCCCTTCAGGACCAAGAGTAGCCATACCAGAAGCGGAAGGGGAAGGTGGGGGGAGAAAAGGGGTACCAATCACAGTGATCTACCTGTAACCCCCACCCAAGGGCATGGACAACAGAAAAGTGGGTGAAGGGAGACATCGGTCAGTGTAAGACATGAAAAAATAATGATTTATAAATTATCAAGGGTTCATGAGGGAGGGAGGAGGGGGGAAAACAGAAGCTGATACCAAGGGCTCAAGTAGAAAAAAAATGTTTTGAAAATGATGATGGCAACAAATGTACAAATGTGCTTGACATGATGGATGGATGGATGGATAGATGGATGGGTGGATGGACGGACAGACGGACGGACGAATGGATTATGATGAGTTGTTCGAGTCCCCAATAAAGTGATTTAAAAATATATATATATCAACAACAAAAAATGAATGCATTCTATAACCTCAAATTTAAAATGTGAAAGCTAATAAATGTATTATGTATTAAAAGTTTCAAATGCCAAAGCTAATAAATGTATTACATACTAAAAACAAACAACCAAACAACACAGAAGTAGTGCCGTGTTATCCCCCAGAAGAGAGTGCTTTTTATACTAGCAGCACCATGGGAACAGGTTTCCTTTTGAATTCCGCATAGATCAGTTTTCCTCAGTTTTATTAGTTTGATAAGAGAAATAGAGCTCATTTTAATATGTACTTTGTTAATAGTAAAATTTTCCTATATTTAGTATCTATTTGTATTTCTGTAAATTCTCTTTTTAATGTTCTTTGCCCTTTATCTATTATAATGCTAATTTGTCTTATAGGCAATCTTAAGATATTAATTCTTGGTCAGTCCTGTTGCAAATGATCTTCTAGTTTCCTATCTTTTAACTGTACTTATAGTATCTGCTATCATTAAAATTTCAACATCGGGGTAATACCCAATGAACAAAGTAGGGACCTTCCTATCTTTTTCCAGCAGTTTAAATATGAGAATATTCTCCGAGGTTTCAATAAAGCTCATCCATAGTACTATTTGGACCTCGTACCTTTCTCAGAAAGGGGTAAATCTTTGTCTGTGTTTCTGATTTCTTCTATTATTTTTTTTGTGACCACTGTCTGTTGGTGTTTTGACTGCTCAGGTTTCCATTGCTGTCGACACTGCTGCAGTGAGCATCCCTCTAACTCCGTGGCTCTCAGCCATACAGTGCCTCGGGTTGTGGTGACCCCCAACCACAAAATTATTTTTGTTGCTACTTCATCACTAATTTTGCTACTGTTATGAGTCACGCGGCGACCCCTGTGAAAGGGTCATTCAACCCCCAAAGGGTCACGACCCACACAGGTTGCGAACTGCAGCGCTGTTAGAATCTAACATTCCTCACTACAAATGCCAATTTGTAGAATTGTGGGGGTGGTTCACATGTTAAAGTCTTTCACAGAACTGCCTAACTGCCATCCAGAGAGACGGTAGCAATTTACTTTCCTACCAGTAGTCTAGGAGAGTGTCTATCCCCTGGTACCGACACCAATGTTAGCATGTTTCTTATCTCTTAAAAGAGTGGTAGCTACGGCTCTCCTTGTTTCCTTCTCTTTGCTCCTCACCTAGGATAAGAATGTTAAAGATATTGGGAAAAATCACACACACACACACACACACAATTGTTTCCAGAATGGCATGATCCTTAGCATTGCCATCCCTACCTGCCCCATTTATCCTCTGTTAATTTGCTTGGGCTGATGTTGGCTCTCTTGCCCTAAGAACCTCTCGGAAAGGAAAAAGAAGTCGGCTCAAGAGCGCTGTCTGGTGGAGGAGGAGATCGATGAACTTCGCAAGTCACACCAAGAGGAACTGGACAGACTTCGACAGCTCCTGAAAAAGGCTCGGGTGTCCACAGACCAAGCAACTGCAGAGCAGGTACTGAGAAACAGGATGTTTACACCACCCAGATCTAGCGATGAATTATTCATGACAAACATGAAAAAATCTTAAAATTCCAAACATTGTTGGGGAGTTCGCCCCACCAAAATTGTAAATGTTGTTAGGTGTCCGTGTGAGACTCCGCTGTAGCCCAGGTAGCTGTGACCAGTGAGTCTTAACCATTCATGGCTGCCAGTTACACTGGGATTGGAACCACATTTTTATTTTCTGTACAACAAAAAAAGCTTTGCAAATAAAATCTTAACATTTTGGGTCTGTTTAAAAAAAAAAATCCAGACATTGTAAGGCCAGTGTCCTCAGCCACCAAACACTATCCTTGGAGTACATGGTCTTCTTTGGAAAGACGGGGGTTTGTTTTGGTGATGAGAAAGGGAAACCAGGTACAATGATAGGATATGCCAGGTGCCTCTCTCGTTGTAATTTCATAAATTCCTATGTGTATGTCAATTTTCTTGTGAATTTAACTAGTGTGAATTGTTGCCCTCCTTTTGATCACTGTCAGGAATTTTGACAAAAATAAGTCCTGCACTGATATAGTTCAGGTTTCCAACTCTGAAGAGTGATGGTCACATTATGATCCTGCCTAATGTAAACAGTGATGCCTTTGTCTTTGCCCTTTTGGGGCCCTGGCAACAATGGAAACTTTCTTCCTAGGTTTAAAAAGTACATTTACTTTAAAAAATAATTAAGATCGCTGAAGCAGTGTGTCCCTATGAAATCTAGTTAGCTGCTGCGTTTGCCCTTTTGAGTGGTGGGCTTTCCCCGGTGTGGCAGGACCACCGAGGATATGGTCACTGCTTTCTCTTGGCAGCTGTCTCTCGTGCAGACTGAGCTACAGACCCAGTGGGAAGCCAAATGCGAACATTTGCTGGCCTCTGCCAAGGATGAGCACCTGCAACAGTTTCAGGAGGTGTGCGCACAGAGGGATGCCAACCAACAGACACTGACACAACTTCAGGGCAAGGTAGATGTTTTCCCTGACCCAGGTAGCTTAAGACGGGCCTGATGCAAGCAAGTTGTTTGAGTCTTACAGATTCATGTGGACCTAAGATGTGTTAGTAGCTTAAAAACAAAACTACAGTTAGTTAGCACTCTGTCCATTATCTTTCACACATACACTCTGAATGCAGATCAGTGAACCGGAGAGAAAAAAAAATAGCACCAGTGTTCCAGAGCATGTTTTCCATTATTATTTAATCCTTTATTTATAAAACAAATAGTTATTGAATGTCAGTTGTTACACACGTTGTTCTTAGAAAGGTCAAACACTTTATCCTCAAGAACCTCACAACCAGGAAAGAAGAGTGGAGCCCAGAAGCAGTGGTGTTTGCTGGAGCTGACTAGGGAAGGCTTCTTCAAGGCAGGGGCATTTGAGCAGAGCCATGCAGGACAAGTAGCTTTGAGAAGATGGAGAGGGGGACAGGGTAAAGCAACTGCAGAAGGGCTTGAGAATAGAGTATCAGAATAGTATCAGCAGGCTCAGAAGAGCTGTAGGAAGTAGTTTGGGGTCTTGGCATGAAAGCCCTCTATTTGGAAGTTACTTTGTTTCATTCAAGTATCTTATTGAAAACTTTTTTTGACTCAGGGTTGGTGAATGAAGTCAGCCTTATAGATGAATAGGTTTCCTGTAACACTCACTAGTCATGTGTCTGTGTGATTAGCACTGATGCCCCCCCGCCTTAATTTCATTATATGCTTGGCCTGATCAGGAACAAGACAAGTGGCCTTGTTCAAAAAGAGGAAGTGAGGTTGTGAGTAGAGATTGAGTGCTGAGCAAGAGCACAGCTCTGAGCCAGCATGTATATGGCGGGCAGAGGGTGGCTGGCCACCAGGAGACCGACATCCCCTTGTCTGTCCTGACCCTCCCCTTATCATCCAGGCCTTAGGCCACAGCCATAGTCTGTTTGTTTTGCAGTGCTTAGCTCTCCAGGCCCAGGTCACAGCTCTGACAGAGCAAAATGAAGAGTACGTCAAGGAGCTGGAGAAGAGCAAGTCCCAAATGTCTGGGGATGAAGCTGCTGCCTCAGACCCCTCAGAGAAGGTGAGCTGGTACTTTGCAGGTGAAGCAAACCGTAGAGTATCAAGGGGCTGAATGTGCATGTTAAACATTCAGAAAGAATGGACCCAAGTTGTGTTGATAGTTTTTATTTTCTCACTTCAGTGATGCTCGAACCAGCCGCCTTAAGGAAAAATCCACCCTTTGGAACTTAGCCACCTTGGTGGCAAACCCAAAAGGTCCTTATCCTTTTCCCAGATAGGGCCAGTACATCTATACCACAGAAAGGGGATGGGGGCCACGGAGTCTATCCAGCATCCACTAGCCACTGATGTGCATTGGCCTGGGAACGCTCAGAGGTGACAGTGGGAATAAGCCATCATTAAGTAGTCCATTGTTGAGCATGCCTCCCCCCTCCCCACAACGCTTGCCTGCCCTTGACGGGACTCTCACAACTGGCCTTCAAGAACACACTGCCATCGAGTCAATTCTGACTCATCTGTAGGACGGGTAGAATTGCCCCAATGGGTTTCCGAGACTGGACTCTATGGGAGAGGCTGGTGGCTCCAAACTGCCGACCTTGTGGTTAGCAGCCCAACATGTAACCACTACGCTACCGGGGCTCCCTACAGCTAACCCTAACTGTCACGAAATGCTACTTATTATTTTGACATAATTCTCTCAGCAGTGAACAAGGTTATGCAGTTCCTCAGGTTATGACCAATGGGGTCCTACTGTAGGGATTCATTTTAGCCTTCCGAGCCCCTCTGAAATGTAATTGCATTACTTAATGACTTGATCTTGGCAGCATGTCTCATTTTCCCTCTCTCCTCACGTCCTCACCTAGGTCAAGCAGATCATGAACCAGGTGTTCCAGTCCTTGCGGGGCGAGTTTGACCTGGAGGAATCTTACAATGGCAGGACTGTGCTGGGGACCCTCATGAATACGATTAAGGTTCATTATTTTGTGGAAATGGGTATCTTACTGTTTAACCTTCTAAAGGGTGAATAGAGGAATATAAAGTCAATCATTAGTAATTACAGTTGCTGGACTGACTTTTATCTGGGCAGAAAGGGTGTGCTTCGGATGACGGGAAGAGACGGGACCAGTTGGACCAGACGATGAGTCTGTGTTTAAGAGGACAAAAGAACTAGGGCTGCCTGCCCTTTTCCTGGCCCTGACCATCTGCTCTTCCTCCTGGGCTTTTGAACAGATGGTGACACTTCAGCTGTTAAACCATCAGGAGCAGGAGAAGGGGGAGAGCCGCAGTGGAGGAGGAGGAGGAGGAGCAGAGAGACCTCAGAGGCCTTCCCAGGAGCAGTCCGTTTCCGCCAGTTCTGAGCTGCCTAAAGACTCCCTGCCCAGGGAGAGGCAGGAGCCCCCCACCGTGCCATCCCCTCCTCAGGCTCCCTCAACTCCCCCAGAGGATGTCCAGACAAGGAAAGGGGAGACCTCCAGATCAGAGGCACTCTCGGGGCTAGAGGATGACTCCCTCCTTCCTGAAGTGACTGACATTCCATCCCACAGAGTCCTGAGGCCCCCACCTTCAGTCCCACCCAGACCTCCAGGCTCTGTAGACATGGACCCTGAATGCCAGGAGACACTTGCTCCTGGCCCAGTGACCACTAAATCAGATGACCCATTGAGAAAGGCTTCGGTCGGGGAAGTGATTTCAGATGGCCCATTGCAGGAACGCTCCACAAAATCAGCCTTGGCTTTAGAGCCCAGGGAAGCGGATCCACGGACCTTAGGGTCTGAAAGCCCAGGAGAGCCTCAGCCTTCCGAGCTCAGTAACAAGGAGGATCTCGCTAGCTCCACTGGCCCCTGCAAGAAACTACTGGACTCAGAGGCCAGCCCTCCAGCTCAGGCAGCCCGCAGATCCAGTCATGGCTCTCAGCATTCCAGGTATGTTAACATAAACACACACGTTCCAGGAGGCTGCATGTGGAGGTCTGGTGTTCTCAGGCCAGGCAACTCATTGTTCAGAGTTGAGCTCACTTGCTCAACTCATTCATGTGCTTATTCACAGTACCTTTATCAGCACCATACCTACTATGTGCAAGGCTCTGTGATGGAGTAGCAGGAAGGGAATATTTGGTTTTTTATTTTGAGGCACCTTCACTCCCAACAGAGAAGAAAATAAGTATGAGAATTGGTAAAAAATAAGAAGGGGCTATTCTGCTTTAGGCAATGTCTTGGTTACCTAGTGCTGCTGTGACAGAAATACCCCAAGTGAATGGCTTTACCAAACAAACTTGTTGCTCATTTTGGGAGGATGGAAGTCTCCGTTCGGAGCTCTGGCTCTAGGGAAAGGCTGTGTATCTTCAACTTCTGCTGCCTCTTTTCTTGGTTCTACAGAGATTTCCACGTGTCTTGGCTTCCGTCTTACCCCATCTCTCCTCCGCTCAATTGTTGACTCTCTTTATATCTCCAAAGAAATTGACTCAAGACACGCATTCTACACTGGCTCACTAACAAGCCTATTAAGGACAACCCAGCCCCAAGTCAGGAGATAAGCACAGGCTCACAAGACAGAATTTACGACACAGATTTGAGGTGGGGACAGAATCCCATCTATTACATTTCATCCTTTAAACCCACTGCTGTCAAGTCCATTCTGACTGACAGTCCCCTTATAGAATTGAGTAGCACTGCCCCATTGGATTTCTGAGGATGTAAACCATGGATTGAAGCAAACTATGTCCATCTTTCTCTCTGGAGCAGATGGCTCATGCTCAAGCCACTGATGGATCAGTTAGCAGCCCAATGGTTAATCCAGTCTGTTACGAAGACTCCTTCTCCACCCCTGCCCTTGCCAAAATAGATGTCCTTGCCTCATGTAAAACACCTCATCATCCCAAAACCTTAAATTAACTCCCAAGTTTAAAATCTTATCTTGTGAACCATTTAAATCAAGTATGGGTGAGACTTTACGTATATTCTATCTTGGTACAAGGTTATACTTCATCTGTAAACCTATGGATCTAGGCTACAAGTTATCTATTTCTAAAGTACCATAGTCAAATTAGGCACAAGATAGACATTTCCAATACAAATGGAGAAATTAGAAGGAAAGAAGGAATAACCAGGTGTATTAGTCTGAGTACTTTAGAGAAACAAATCCATAGAAACTCATGTAGAAGAGAGAGTTTTATATAAAGGTTAAGTGCACATCAAGAAAACTTCCCAACCCAGTGCTGCCCAAGCCCACAAGTCCAACATTAACCCTTATGTCTGCCACCAATCTACAAACTCTTCATCTCACAAAACAGATGCAATGATGCCGACTGCAGGGGGAAAGCTGAGTCAATGAATGTGTAAACATCTCAGTGCTGGCAGGGGTCTCCACACGGCTGCTCCAGCACCCAGGGCTGCATCGGGGTAGGTCCATGTGTCTTTTCCTCAGGGATGTCTTGCAGGCAGTGAGTCTTGCCAGCTGAAGCAGGGAACTGGCTAAGGCAACTGCACCCTGGTCCGACCATCAAAAAGCAGGAGACCTGAGAACTAGAAAGGCAAGGCTCACCGAGCCATTTATCCCTCTGCCTTTCAATTAACCCCACATGTGTTTATCAGCCAGGTTGGCACAATAAACTTTAACTAACTCCCAAACCCAGTAGAACAAATTACACTAGCTCTCAAGGCTCAAAGATAACCGTCTTCTCTGAGACCATCTGGGCAATGGCCTCACCCTCCATACTCTAGGTGCTGATCACAACTTCTGGATTCTGGGTATAAAGGTATCTCCGCCCCGGACTGCAGCTCCACTGTAAGCCTTCTGAGATGGCAATTCTTCAGCTTAGCTCCATTTTCCTAGTCTGTCTTAGTGGTGGCCCCACCCCCTGGCTCCCTGGTTGTGCCCCTTGAATGTAGCAGTCCCACCCAACAACGTTGGATGGTAGCCCTATCCCCCCAGGGACCAGGTGGACAAAGATCCAGCTCTTTGAACCTGAGGTGATGGCCCCACCCTTTGAGATCCTGGAGATTGTGGGCTCTATCTACCCTTGGAAACTAAGAAGGCTCTGCTCCTTATGCTTCCTGCAACTGCTCTGCTGACCTCCCAGCTGCTCCCGGGATGTCAGTCAGAACATGTTGCCCCGTTTCCTGCCTACAGAATTCCAAGAGGCAGGCAGCGTTCCTTCCTTTCTTTCTCTGTCTGCTTCAGTGTAAGCTGATGGCTGGCTGTTCTGTGGTCACTGGAAGATAATCTCCTTAAAAAAGATCGTGTGGCCATGTTTGGTGAACATTCTCAGACACGTGTCCATAGCTTGCACAACAGACTTTCTCAAACCTCTTACTGTCGGTTCCCATTTTGCCCAGTGTTTTGGTAAACCCATGTCTTTCCTCTCACATTTTCCTGTGCGCCGTGAGAAGCAGGAGGCCCCGAAGCGCTTCCTTAGAAATCTCCTCACCTGAGTATCCATGCTTATCACTGACAAGTCCCACCTTCCACCCTACACTTGAACATCATCTAGACAAGTGCTTTGCCGCTGGATAAAAAGCATCCTGCTGTTTTCATTGTTTAATTACATGTTCATTTAAAAAGCTTTTTTTTAAATCTTGTTTTTGGTTACAGTTTACACAAGTTAAGTTCCCATTGACGTTTTCACACCAACTGTTCTGTGATGTCATATTCTATTACAGCCTCACCAGAAGCACATCCAGTCCTGTCGCTAGCACCAATCTGGTGCTGGTGCTGTTGGTATCCTCGAGGACAATAGCGGTTTCAGTACACCTTTCTTCATTTCCTACTAGAAGAGCCCATGGCAAAATTGCCTTTGATATCTACCACAAGTCTCTTGCAAGGCAACCTCAGCTCTTACTGTGGGGCACTTTGCAACTCTGTTCACCTCCTCCCACTGCTCACCTCTGCAACGGCTCCCCCAGCTTAGGTCTTTGTTAGAGCGGCACTCCACTCCCCTGGCACCTCGGGCGGCCTTCGTTAGCTAGTGCCGCCAGAGCAGAAAGACCACAAGTGATGACAGCCTGACCAGACCAACATTTCTCTTCTCATGGTCTAAGAGGCTAGAAGTCTGAATTCTTCTGAGTGCTAGATCAAGATACACCCTATACCAGTCCTGCCTCGTTTTCATGTCTCATTATATATCCCATGAACATAAAGACAACCCTTTCCTAAATGGGATTATAACCACAGACATAACAGAATTTTCATAAAAAATCATTTTATTGGGGCTCATACAACTCTCATCACAATCCACACACACATCAATTGTGTAAAGCACACTTATACATTCATTGCCCCCATCATTCTCAAAACTCTGGCTTTCCACTTGGGCTCCTGGAATCAGCTCCTCATTTTCCTTCCCCCACCTCCCTCCCTGCTCCGCCCTCCCCCATGAACCCTCGATAATTTATAAATTATTATTTTATTATATCTTAAATTGCCCAGCGTCTCCCTTCACCCACCCCTCTGCTGCCCTTCCCCCAGGGAGGAGGCCATATGTAGATCCTTATTATCAGTTCCCCCTTTCTACACCCCCCTTCCCTCCCGGTATCGCCACTCTCACCACTGGTCCCGAGGGGTTCATCTGTCCTGGATTCCCTGTGTTTCCACTTCCCATCTGCGCCACTGTGCATCCTCTGGTCTAACCAGGTTTGCAAGGTAGAACTGGGATCATGATAGTGGGGGAGAGGAAGCGTTTAAGAACTAGAGGAAAGTTGTGTTTCAATATTGCTATACTGCACCCTGAGTGACTCATCTCCTCCCCACTACCCCTCTGCAAGGGATGTCCAGTTGTCTACAGATGGGCATTGGGTCCCCATCACGCGCTCCCCTCATTCACGATGATATGATTTTTTCCCCCCATTGGTGCTTGATATCTGGTCCCCCTCGGCCCTTCATGATCACACATGCTGGTGTGCTTCTTCCATGTGGGCTTTGTTGCTTCTGGGTACATGGATTTTTGAGGGGCATAATTCGGTCCAAACAGACATGGTTGTTAGAGAAAGATTCTGAGAAGGTAAGATTTAAACCAGGGCGTGAACAAGAAGGACTCATCTATACCAAGAGTGGGAGGCAGAGGTGGAAGGCGGCTCTCGAGAGCAGCTTGGGCCCAGGAGTGGAGAGACATCCAGAAACTGAAAGGCACAAGGAACCAAAGGAGAGGAGTGTTCCAGGGAAGCCGGACACTAAGCACAGGCTGGATCATTTGAGTTCGGTTAGAACTTGGACTTTTTAAAGCTGCTAAAGGGATTTAAACAGAAGAATGGCATAGTCTGATTTCTTATTTTCAAAAGATCACTCTAGCTGTAGGCTATCGAGGGGGCCAGCCAGTGGGAAGAGATGGTGACAGTGACCCCGGACCTCAGGAACCCTTGTACCTGGTGTGCATTGTGGCCCGGGGCAGGTACAACAGTGTTTTCTGCGACTCAATTGTCTTTCAGTCTCTCTGGGGATGAGAAAGATGACCTGTTTCAAGGAGCAACTCTGGAAGTCCCAAGCCTCAAAGAAGATCCTGAGGACGAGGATGAAGATGAGGTGGTAAGGGAATTTCAGACACTGCCAAGTCCGCACACCACCACCCAGGGGCCCTTCCCCTCTGGCTCTGAGAAGAACCCCTTGGGGCAGAGAAATGGAATCTGTTGGTGGCCCACCCACTGGACACTGTGCGCAGGGCCCTGTGGGAGTGGGCTTGGGGCCGGGAGGGTGCAGCTCTGCAAGCACAACGAGGATGGCCAGGTGCCCCTGTATCCTGGGAAGACTGCTGTACTTTAAGGGGTGCAAGCTGGGCTGTGTACCCTACAGTGGGATGCTAAAGCGTCTGACTCCCCCAGTCTTCTAAGGCATTCTGTTCTAGAGTAGAACACGAGTGCAATCATAACTTACCCTACTTAGGGGTTTTAAGACAGTAAATCTTTCACAGGTGCAGACAGCTTGCTCTCTCCTGTGGAGCAGCTGGTGGGTTTGAACTGCATACCTTGGGGTTAGCAACCCAGTGCTCAGCTCACTGTGCCACCAGGGCTCCAGAGCAGACTAGTAGATTTAGTCCATGACTAAATCAATTCCTGCTACCCCCATGGGACTGGGTCCCTTGCAAGGGATAAAAGATTCTTTGTAGCCCCTCCTTCCCCCTTGCCCCCATCCCTAATAGGAAGGAGGAATAGAGGGAGGGGCCAGTGAGACTGGGGTCTACAAGCAGCTCCAGCCCCATGTTCCTGGCTGCCCCCGTCTGTTGGGAGTTTCTACTCAGGAATGTAGCCAAGCCTCTAAATTCAACTTTCTCAGATGGTGAGGTCACATCCAGAACCAGACAGGCCACAGCAAGTGTTTTCTTCCATGTGGTTGTATTCTTCCCAGCCCCTTATCTCCTGAGTCCCCGCTCCTCCCCCAGGGCTTCTTGCTTCCCTTTCTGTCTCCTCCTCCACTTCTCCTCTTCCACCCTTTTCCCCACATGAAATGTGTAAGGCACTGCATGAGAGGAAAATCTGTGCAATCACTACCTGTGCTACACAAATAAATGCCAAAATTAGCCAAACAAAGTTGGTCTTTTGTTCTGTGTTGAAGATTGCCTCCTTCTCTGCATGCTGGTCTCAGCAGGATCTGGAAACTTAATTTTGCTGGCCTCGGGGTTGGTCCTCTCGGCAAAACCAACCAACAGCCTCCTTTCCTCCTAGAGAGCCAGGAAGACTTGCTGGGTTGTTCGCCTTATGGATGCAGGCAGTTCGGCTGGTGCAGGGACAAGTGAGGACTGACTACTCTTTCCTGTTTTGTCAGAGCATGAAGGGACGCCCGCCCCCAACACCCCTTTTTGGAGATGATGATGATGACGATGACATTGACTGGTTGGGATGAAGACCCAGGAAACTGATGCCAAGGTCTCTTGCCCGGCCCTTCTCTAAGCATGGTTTTGCACAGCAGCTCTGGGTCTAGGCAAGCCCTGGGGGAGGTAAAGGTGAGAATTCTGATGACATAGTTCCAGTGCCTGGATCAGCCCACTTCTGTGCTTCCACCTGCCCTGAAGAGGGATGTGACCCTGCCTCAGTGGACACCGGTGTCTTCTGCCTCCTTTGGAGGGAGAGCTGCTAGGGCTCCTGTTAGCGGCTCACCTCCGGGACCTGAGTCCTCTCGGGGCTTTCTGCAGTCCTCACAGACTCTCAGACTCTCCCGGGAGCACTTCCTCCAGCTGCACCTCACTGTAAGTCCAACTTCGACTGAGCAACAAGACCTGCCAGCTGGGCTGAGGCCTCCTGGGTAAAGCTTAGGGTGAACAACATGATCTAAATTCTATTCAGTTAATAGCCTTCCCTGCAATCCTGGGACATCCGCCTTAAACTTGACGAAACATGTCAGTGGCATTTGAAATTAACAAAATTAAAATAAATGTCTACAATGAAACTTGGCTCAAGCCCTTGGGGAGAAGTCAAGGTGGGGTCTAAGGGCTGTGCTTCTCCGGGAATCTGAGGGCAGGATTACAACAGAGCTGGGTCAGTTAGTGAGCATGGGAGCCTGTGGCTTATTCCCTTTGGCACCTAACCTTGGGACTGTCTTTCAAAGTCACTCTTCTGCTGGCCCAGTTTCTAAGGTCAGGGCATTGTGTCAGCTCGTCCACAGATGGCCGGACCCCCAGGAAACCACGCAGGAGCGGCAGCAGTTGTCTGTTGTCCATTATGGCACCGAACAGTTCTTCTCTGAGAGTAACTTCCACTGCCTCTGAACTCAAGGGCCACAACTAATGCAGAGAAAGGACCAGAGGGAATGTGGTGGTCACCTTTCTTATCTCAAGATCTTTCAACAGCTCTGCAAAAAGAAAATAAGTCATTTTTTAAATTCCCTGGTTTTCCCAATTTCAAGATAGGAACTTGACTTTTGCTCCGCATGGCTTCCGGGGTTTGGAAGGCAATCACAGTGATCATATATTAAACTTCCATCTCAGGCACTGTCCCCCCTCTGAAAGACACTGCTGCCCTGAGGAGAAGACTCAGGCTTGCCCACGATGACATGTCTAGTAATGCAGCAAAACAGGAATTCCAGTCATGGCCAGTGGACACAGGAACCTGGGCTCGTGGCCACCAACAGCAACATTTCTCTTGCCTGATCAGCAAGGACTCCCTGGGAGGGAGAAGGGGGTATGTTTTATAGAAATGCATTTCTTGGTCCTATCTCAGGTGCCCTGAGACAGAATTTCCACTCTTAGGGTAAAATACTAAACATTTTGGCTTCGTGACCTTGTTTCACCAGGCCCTAGGCCAGCTTGCTTACTCTCCCAGCTTCGGGTCCTGCATCTGAGTTGACCATCATAGGCTGCCAGGCTCCAAATGCTGGCTCTGCCACTTCCCGGCTGGGTGACAGGCTTCTCGATGCCTCAGCGTCCTCGTACTTTCTACCATGAGGAGGATTAAATAAGGTAATGCCTGTGAAGTTCTTAGTATACTGCCAGGCAGGTTGAAAAGAAAATTTAAGTAGGGAAAGTACCACCTTTTGTGAGTTGGCAGGCTCTGAAGAGTGTTGAAATGAGAGCACTGTATTGCCTCCTGCATCCAACACACACACAGGAGCGGAGGTAACAAAGCCCTCTGTGCCCAGGAGCCTCAGATGAATTGCCCCAAAGGAGTGACTGCCCCCCCCCATACTTTAGGGAGGGAACCTAGCTGGTCAGAACTTAGACATGGACACATGAGTCATTGGGCATCAGTCAGGATGGGGGGCAGCTTTCCAGTTCCCTCGGAAGTCTGCCCACGTGGGGAGAGCATGGATGTGTCACAGACTCTACTTTCAGTGGTAGTTCTTACCATAATTTAAAGTTTTTTTAAATTTCTATTTTCATCTACCCTCCCAGAGAAGGGGCTAATGCTGCTGCCCAGCTACTGTTGACAGTCCATGTGACCGTGCACCTGTTTCCCGGCAGGCAGGGACTAGTGTTTGTTACAGGAACAAAGGATGGCAGGTGACTGAGCTGGTGTCCCAGGTGCCTGCGCACCATGTCTGAGGGCTGGCTGTCCCTGCAGAGCTACCATCTGTCTTTCATAGCAGACTGCCCTCTGACAGCCCCACAAACAGTCCTGTCACCTCCTCTGACCCCCCTCAGCCTCTGCAGTTAAGGTTTCATGCATTTGCTGTCGGGAGAAGAAAAAGAACAGTCACAGATTGTTTAGAAGTAACATCTTTATTAAAGTGTATCTATTTTTTTAGGTGTATCTTAATACCCTAAATTTATTAACCATCTTTTTACCTAGCCCGTGTGCTGCGTGAGTAAGGACATACAGTATACAACAGTGATGCTCCCTCCCTGGGTCTCTGTCCTCTGAGGTGAAGCCATTCCGCTCTCAGGAGAGTCCCATCTAAACAAATGTAACAGCTTTGGCCTGACCATGTATTGCACCTTCAGTCAGCACACCCTGTGACTTAATCAGCATTTCCCCCCAGGTCCCTGTTAGGTGAGCAGTGAGGGAATATCCTTAAATGTGTTCCGCGTGCTGCTCTGTTCTGCATGACGAGCTTGGGAGGCCTCTGGGGCCGGCGGGCTCTCCCTGAGCTGCGGACCGGGCAGTCTGCTGCAGGAGCCCAGCTCAAGCTCGCCAGGCTGCGTCGGAGCCACTAGCACTCATTCTGCTCACCCCCACCCTGACCCAAAGAAAGGGAACCCGGCCTCGTCAGATGCTGCCGTTTATCATAAATAAAAGTCATAATTTCATTAGAAATTTGCCCTGATTAATGTGCAAAATTGTCGACCAGGAGCTCCTGGTGTGTGTGTGTGAATCTCAGTGTGTCGTCATGATTCAGAGAAGAGACCATCTTCGTGTGTCCAAAGGCAAAAAGGTGAGATACAGGAGCCAGCGTAGTCTGTGTCCCCACGCAGAGGCCGGGAAGGCAGCCCGTGGAAGACGCTCCTCGAGATAAGGCACGGAGCAGGAGAGCAAGGGGTTCCAGCTTCCCTGCCTTCATCACTGCAGAGCCCACGTCGCTGTCTCCGAGGGTCTTTATGAGTCCCAGGATCGCCCAGGACTCAGCGTCCTGCACCAGCCTCTGCTCTTTCCTCCCTTTGGTCCAACAGCCTTATGCAGGCCCAGAAAGAGTAGGCCTGGGCCCCCACTGGCTGGCCAGGGAGCTCCAGGGGGCAGGAGCCAACCTCAGCTGAAAGCTTCCATTGCTGGGGAGTAGTCGGAGAGAGGACAAAGGGCTGGAAGTCCATTGCCTCGGCCCCCTCCAGCCCTCGGTGCCTGCACGCCCCACCAGCTAGATCATGCTGAGAAGTGGGTAGGCTAGGTAGTAGCCCACAGCTGAGCCCACAACCACGCCGAGGAAGATCCAGGTGTTGTAGGACATGACAGCCAGCATCATGAAGTAGCCAATGACCACCTGAGTGACGTGGATTAGAGACTGGCCGAAGTGACACAGAAACCACCTAGACATGCAGGGAGATCGTGTTAACGTTGGCGCTGTGCCAGGGGTCGGGAGCTGATGTCATGGGCTAGACTAGAGAGCAGTGACAGGGCAGCATATTTATCCTTTGCATCCCTGATCAGACATCACACTAGAGAAGGGCTTGTATAAGGCGCCTAGGACAATCCTTAGATCGTGTTTGGCTCTTGGCATCCTAGGCAAAAAGGAAGATGCTGGCATATGTAATATAACTTGTCTGAGAAGGAGAATTATAAAGGTCTGAGATATTTCCCTGAATCTGAACACATCCATTTTGGAAGCAGTACAGCTGGAATGGGCTTTGGGAGGGAGAATGGTAAGACTTTGTCTGATGTACTTGGGACACATTAACAGCAGGGACTGGTCGCTGAAGGCGGACATCATGGCTTGGCAAGGCTGCCACAGTGGGTTCTCACAGGGCAGAGAGCAGTGTGGGCCCGGGCAGTGTTTTACTCTACTGTACGGAGGGTCACTGAGTCAGAACCCGGCGGCACCAGTGTGGGAGGCAACAGTCCTGCAGACAGGATGAGCATGAACTGGTGGCATTTCAGTTCCCGCTCCTGACCCTTACTGGGTCAGATGGCAAGTGTCTTAACCTCTCTGAACATACATTTCCTCAACAGTGAAATGCCATACTCAATGCCGTCAATTCCATCTCAGGAACCCTTACAGGACGGGGTAGAACTGGCCCTGTAGATTTCTGAGACCATAACTCTTTACAGGAGTAAAAAGCCTCATCTTTACCCCAGTGAGCGGCTGGTGGTTTCAAACTGCTGACCTTGCAGTTTAGCAGCCCAGCTGGTAACCTACTGTGCCACCAGGAATGCTCTCAACAGTAAACTAGAGAGTAAGCGTGCCTGCCCTGTGGGGTGTTTGTGAAGCCTTGAGATGACCCCTGTCATCCGGCTGGTCGAGGAGGAGGCAGGCTCTGTTAAGTACAGGTGAAGACGGCTAGAGGAGGAAACGGGGCTCTAAACGGCTGGCCTAGCACAGTGGGAAGAGAAGCCAGGAGGCTGGGTATATTGCTGACAATGGCCATTTGCTTAGGACAGTTGCACAACTCCTGGGTCTGGGAGCCTAGTGAGATTTGGGGGCAGGTTGCCACCCCTGTTGCCAGACAGTCCTACACTACAAGTATTGTAAAGATCACCACTCCCTAAAGAAATGCTGAGCCTGCCAAGGGGCTGCCTGTCCAGAGTGTGGAGAGCTTTAGACTGGGTGTCCAGAGACCAGATGTCCACCTTTCTACTTCTGTAAGCACTTTGGCACATCCTGGGTCTCAATGTCCTTTTGTGAATTTGGGTGAATGCTCTCTGGGCTCATCTACTCAGGGTGAATGTGAGGACCCAGGGCCCACTTCCCACCCCAGTGCTTATTACCTGAGGTGGCTTCTGCCAACGGAGAGCGAATCTGAGCTTGCTGATTCCCCATCCGTCTCCTCCATGAGCTGCTGGCTGGTGGGGATCGGGAGGCTCTCCAGAGCATGGCGGAGCAGCTTGACCTTAGCGACCTTGATGCCTTCGTACAACACAGCCAGGAGCAGGACCACGGCCACTGAAATGGCCATGCCTGTGGGAGGAGGTCGGGCTGCAGAGACCTGGCAGGGCAAGCGCCCTCCACCCCGTTCCTTTGACTCCCCGTATCCGCCTCTCGGGCATCTTCTCGCCCAGCCCTGTTCTGCACTGAAAAGAGATGTTTTTTTCTCTCCTTTAGACCTTCTGTGGTGGGGCTAGGGAGCGCAGTTCCTGGAAAAGCCAGGGGCTAAAGGAGAAGCAGAAGCCATGCACCCCGGCGTACCCGCTCAGTTGTCTGCACAAATCTCTGCTGCAACTTCTTTTTAAAGGAAGGGTCTGTACAGCAAGCTCCCGTTTACACGGAGGTACACAGAAACGGAGACGGGAACGCAGCAAGCAGATCCTTGCCTAATTTTCTGTAGTCTCTACAGTAAGTGTTTACACCTCCGTGATAGGAAAACATGCAGAAAGATGATTTTATAGAAACATGGAAGGCGTACGAGAGGTGCTGTGCAGCCTGACTGGCTAATTGCTTGTATTTTACAAGCAGAGGGACTAGTGAGCAGCCTGGTGATGTACGCTACTGAGCGTCAAGGTTCCCTCTGCAGATGCTTACAATGTAAAATTACAGATAACTCCACAAACGGGGGGAGGGGGGGCGCGGGTTAAAATAGTACAAAAGAGCATACAGGGAAAAGTCAGTCTCCCCACCCACCCAGTCTTCCAGAGCCCCAGCCCCATCCCTAAAGAAAGTTCAGTTAGCAATTGGTTACACAGCCTTTCAGGGAGCCTCGTAAAAACATCTGTCTAAATGTCATCAACCTATCTATGCGAATTCTCCTGCACCTTGATTTCATCACCCACTGGGGCTTCCATATGGATGGGTCCCCCTCAGCACCCACAGATGACCCATCTCTTCCAATAGCTTCATAGAATCTGCGATGGCTTGCTTCTAATTTACAAAGGTGGCCACCACAACTTATCCCACCCAACATGCTTTCTTACAGTGTCAAATGCTGACAATTTTGCAACAGGGATGGGTGGGGGTGGGGGGTGGGGGCGGCCTCCTCGACCCCACGCCTTTAACCTGGACAGACATTTGTGACTGCTTCCAGCAATAATGGTGGCAGTCCGGCTACGCGATGGCCAAGGCTGGGTCTTACAACACGCCATGCACTTCCACCTAGTTCTCTTAGGACATTTGCCCGTGGACACCCCATCCTGCCTGTGGGAGGGGTCCAGGTCATAGGAGACCTCAGGGAGGTGTCCAAGTCCACAACCCATATGAGGTTCGGGCTGACAACTGCTACCACAGGCGATGACTCCAGCTCCAGCCACCATCTGCCCACACATGCACGAGACCTTGAGGCAAGGACCACTTAGCTGAATGCAGTCCACTCCTGGGACCTTGAGTGAGAATCACAATGCCTATTGGTGTTTTCCGCCAGTAGGTGCTGTGGTGATGTGTTACTCAATGACAGGCAGACATGGTGGTTTGACTAATTTATTTGATCAGCATCTGCAGTGATGGGCATTTGGGGTCACTTACGGGATACTTTTAAGATGAAGCTGAATTTCATCATGATTTAGTGTCCAACTCTCCCCTTTTCAAATCAAAGACATCTCCCCACCCCCACCCCCTTTTCAAATTGGTCTCTCATCTGAGCTGCCTGCAGCCGCTGCTCTGGGCTGCTGCTCGTGCTGCAAGGGGCCCTGGGTAAGGGAGGGGCCAGGAGGCAGCAGGAGGCCCGCATCTAGTTCTGGCTCTGCTGCTCACTGTCCTGGATGAGCCTGGCCCTCCGCTTCGACTCCTTCCCCTGGCGCACAGAAGGCTGCCTCCCTCTCTGGGCCTTTGTGAGGATCAGTGAGATAGCAGAGCCTTTTGCCTTCTGAGGGGTGGTGGCAAAGAGAAATTTTCATACAGAGCTCCTGCCCAAAGCTTCCTCCGCAAGGGGGCCAGTTCCCTTACCCGCCCGCAGAGCCCAACAGCGAGCACCTGGGCTCTCCACACCCAGGTCAGGTTTGGGCTCCCCCACGCGTACCTGCTGGGCTGTGGACACGCCAGAAATCGAAGAGAAGCACCACCTCATCGGAGAAGATGAAATGCATCTGGAAGGGAAGGGACTCGCGTCACAAAGCGCTTCGGGCCCAGGACAGCATGGTCCCTAATGCGCTCTAGCAGCCTCCTCAGTCACCCAGAAATGTCCGCCCATTGGCGGTGATGCTGGCCAGCAGAGGCAGGGCCTCACCCAAGGTCCCCGTGGGTCCGCAACCCAGTTCTCTGGTTGCTAGCCCTGCCCTAGGTGCCACTGAAGATGCCGCTCAGGAAGGTGCAGCGGCCGCAGCCTCAGGCTCAAGGGCTTGGGATACCGCACTTCAGCCCCACAAGTTTGTGTGACATGAACAATTAGACTCCTTTGACAGAAAAACTATGGGGAAAACCAGGCTCAGAGAAGTAACTTGCTGAGGGCCACAAAACTAGTATCTTGGCAAACCTGGGATTCAAACCTGGCCTTTCTACCCCAAAACTTATTTATCCCCAACTTATTTGGCCTACTGCCCAATCTATAGAGGAAAAAAAAAATCACTTAGCACCCCGACAATGAGAAACGTTTGTA